CAGTATATATATATATATATATATATATATATATATATATATATATATATATATATATATATATATATATATATATATATATATATATATATATATATATATATATATATATATATATATATATATATATATATATATATATATATATATATATATATATATATATATATATATATATATATATATATATATATATATATATATATACAGTTGTACCCCGCTTTACGCGGTCAATTGAACCCACAGGGTACCGCGTTAAGTGAACAACAGAACATATGGGATTAATTCCAATAGAGACTGGCCTGACCCCCAAACTCTACTTTTTCGGACACAATACCTATGTTCTAGTAAAAATAACATCTTAATTTTATGATGGCACATGCACACAATTAATACTTAAGAGAAATAGAGAAATACAGTCGCCAAGTTAATGTCCATTCAAATAATGGACTAAACTCCCTCCCCCTCTTCTCACACTACACTGCTGGCTCTTCCCTCTCTGAGAAATTTTTTGGGGAAAACCACTAGATTTTAATAAATAATACCTCAAACTAAAGTTAGGATAATATAATTGACATTGCTGGATTCCTTGTAAGACCAGGAATATTTTGAATATAAATGTCATATATTTTCCACAAAAGATAACATATTTACTCAGAGTAAACATTATATCTAAAATTTGTATGTCTAATGCAAAATCTATGATGTTTATATTCAAAATGATCATCAAATTGTAAGAATTCCAGCAATGTAAATTATATTCTGGCCGGGTAATTTGTAAGAATTTTATGAGCTAAAACAAATATCTTCAGTTAATAAAAAAAAATAAATATTCTTCACATAGTGCCAGATGGTCGGTCGGTCCCTCCCTCCCCCCCACCCCCACCAACCCTCCCTACCAGATGTGTGGGAAAACCAGAATATTTATCTTTTTAGTAATAAATAATACCTCAAACTAAAGTTAGGATAATATAATTGACATTGCTGGATTCCTTGTAAGACCAGGAATATTTTGAATATAAATGTCATATATTTTGCACAAAAGATAACATATTTACTCAGAGTAAACATTATATCTAAAATTTGTATGTCTAATGGAAAATCTATGATGTTTATATTCAAAATGATCATCAAATTGTAAGAATTCCAGCAATGTAAATTATATTCTGGCCGGTTAATTTGTATGAATTTTATGAGCTAAAACAAATATCTTCAGTTAATAAAAAAAACAAATATTCTTCACAACACTATCTGTCAATCAAAGTACCCCACCTTGCCTCCCCCCCCTCTTCCAACCGCGCCAGATGGTCGGTCGGTCCCAACCCTGCCCCCCACCCCCCACCTTCCCTCCCTACCAGAGAAATGTTGGGTGAAAAAACTAGATTTTAACTTTTAGTAATAAATAATACCTCAGACTAAAGTTAGGATAATATAATTGACATTGCTGGATTCCTGTCAAGACCAGGAATATTTTGAATATACACTTCATATATTTTGCACAAAAGATAACATATTTGCTCTGAGTAAACAAAATACTTGCATTAGATCTAAAATTTGTATGTCTAATGCAAAATCTATGATGCTTATATTCAAAATGATCATCAAATTGTAAGAATTCCAACAATGTAAATAATATTCTGGCCGGATAATTTGTATGAATTTTATGAGCTAAATAAAAAATTTTTACTTCACCCGCGTAAAGGGGTACACGCACCATGGAATGTGAGCATCCTGGGTTCCGGCAGGGTACAGCGTAAACGTGGAAACGCGGAATGTGGGACCGCGTAAAGTGAGGGTTGACTGCACATTTTTTATATCTTGAGCAAAATATATGACGCTTATATTCAAATTAATCTCCGTCTTGCAAGGATTTCAGCAATGCAAATTATATTATCCTAACTTTAGTCTGAGATATTATATAAAATAAACAAAGAAATCACCAATCTTTTATCTTGGAACACGAGGGTGGTAAAATAAGGGGGGTGACGTGACAGAATGTCTGGCATTTGTTTGTTTATTTATTTGAGATAAGATTTGACAGTTGGCGCTGAAGGCCTGCCTGCGTGTTTATTTATCATTACTTAAGAGTGACTAAGCTCTTCTCATAATTTGCCACCCAAACGACCTGGGTGAGTATAACTTACATTGGAGGGATTCTTGTAAGATAGTAATTTATTTGAATACCTGCATAAACAAGCTATATTTGCAATAGACATAACAACTTTAGTACCGTAATCATTTAGTACATGTACAATACAGGTTTGCACTTAGGTCCATTGTTACTGTACAATATTGACTAAATTCACTAGATAACATACGCCTGGCCGCACAATCTATAAGAATACGCGATGCATACGTGACTGTGCCCGCTCTAGGTCCATTTAGGTTCGCTAGGTCCCATTATTTGAATGTTTTTTTTTTTCAATTTAAATTTTAATTGTTTATTCCTTGATAGAGGAAGCGGGATCCTAGTGCTGTCACTTGGTACCCCTGTACCATAACACCGGAAGCAACTGGCCAGTGTCACAAGTATATACAGTACAGTACAGTCATCCTTTGGTTATCGCGCCTAATTGGGACCCCGCCGATAACGAAAGTACAGAACCTATGGGATTTGTTCTAATTGGTTCCAGGCACCCAAGACCCAACCCCAAGTTTCCCATTTTACGACCATTTATACCCACTAAATATATATATAATGTTATGGTAAATATCATAAACACACATAGGCATGGCTAGGTTTATTACAAAGTGATGAAAAGGGTACACTTAATACTGTAGTTCACAAAACATGTAGCTATGCTTTTTTTATTTGGTCCCCCATCATACGAGTCTGTTTTCTCTCACATCAGGACGCCTGAGTCCTCCATTTTCTCTCTTAATCTTAGAGTGCACCAGAGACTTAGTTATTTTTAGTAATGCCACAGAATTTGAAATTGCAACCCCAATTGCAACTGGGGTTGCAATTGTTGAGGCAACTAGATATGTCTGATTACAGCAAATGTGTTATTGTCAATTTGTAGGTGAAAGATTTTATCCTCAATAGATGTAGGTTAACATTACACTTGGAGGCAAATGCTTAAAAAAAGGCTAAGGAAGGAAGCATATTCCTTTAACACATAATATCTGACCAGTATGGGGAGGATCATCGTGTCTCCGTCAGGGGGTCGTGGAGTGGTGGTCCAGCAGGCGTCACGGATTTTTTTTTGGGGGGGGGGGAGGCACGGATGTATATGCAATTGGACGTTAACCGGCGCATGACTGTATTACATATAGGGGAAATACCCCGCAATTTTCACTGATACCCCGGAGATCTGACGATCAGGAGAGGAGCGCAAGAGCCGTTTTGAATGGTGGCGTGGCATGAATTCTTGCTACCAGAGGGCTCTGTGCGCTGCCTCTGACTCATTCCCGCCATCTTTGCTATTGTTTACACTTACCATGTGTCTCTGACTTCGTGTTTTTTCATTATTTCCGACCTCAAGTGTAATGCAATCATGCTTAAACAGCCCAATGATAGTTTTTCATGTGCTGGGCAGCTAGATGTGATGTGATAAGGTGTAATAAAAGTGGTGATGGACCAGCAAAGAATGGTAGAGACTTGATTATTTTGTTATTTCCGACTTAGTGTGTTACTCAATCATGCCTAAATGCCCCAGTGATAGTTCCTCTTGTGCTGTGCAGCTAGAAGTGATGTGATAAGAGTGGTGATGGGTCGACTTTCCCATTCCCAACACAGGTAAATAACAGTCTAAATTTATGCTTTCCATTGCTTATTCAAGGCTTATTATACTTACTTTATATGTCTGCTTTATTTTCTTGCTTGACAGAGTGCATTACAGAGATACATCAAGGGTAGATGGGAGTTTTTGGAGGGAGGACAGTCCCTAACCTCCTGAAATTGTTATGTTCTTATGACTTTTACCAGTCCCTAAATGCATAGGTTATCATGGTATACCTGTGGTTGGGTTGAATTTTCCAGCCACAGACCTCAAGTTTCACTATTCCTTGAAATAACCACAAACTCAATTGGGCTCAAATTTTCAATACAGTCTATACTTCACTTTAGCGATTAATTGGTACCACGAAAATGGTCATTAAAGTGAAAATTGTTAATGTGGTGAGTATAGTTTACATGTTAAATGGGTCAATTGGTACCATCCCTCAGACACTTCCACCCCCTATAAACCCTATACCCGATAAACCCCATAAAAAATTACAACCACTTATTCACACACACATTAATACTGCATGTACAGTTAATAACTAATAATAACTAACCTTTAGACACTCAGTGAACTGCTTAATGAGACTGTTTGCTGTCATCCGAGGCAGGAGAGTGGTGTTAGTGCCCCCACACTCACTGCTTCCCCAGCACCACTACCAACTGATTCTTCAGTCTTAAAGCCAGTGAAGTCTAGTGGCAAATCTTCTAACAGATCACACACAGGTAAATCTTGAACACTATCATTAACAGTGCCGTCATCTCCCTCTGGAATGTCGACACACCACACCTCCTGTTCACATGCTCTGATCAAAACAAACCACCCTGCTCTTGATCAGTATTGTGTTGAGGTGTCGCATTTCATCACTGTCATTATTGTGATGAATCGTTAATGAGAAACTTGTTAAAGTGAAGTATGTACTGTACTATATTGGTTTAGATGGGTGAAAAGGCTGCACTACACCAAAAGTTTTATCCACACTGATAAAGGATCTTGCCACTGACGTGTCAACCCCTCTAGCACAAGTATACTGAACACTTGACATCAGAGGAAGTGATAAAATTTGTGGCTGATGGAGACATCTGGTATCTCCTCAAGGTAGTAGGTAGTATTTTTTCATGAATGAATCACTTTAATTCATCAGGATGAAATGATTCATTCATGAAAAAATAATAACTACAGTACTACCTCGTGGAGTTACCACTGTACGTTAGGCTCTATAAGCCATACAAGTATTTAGCAACAAAATATATTATAAAACAACAGTTTTCTTACCAGCAAGAGCATTTGTATCCCCCTGGAACACAGTCAAACGGGTTCGATGCAGCTGTTTGAAGCAAGTGAGCACCTGAAAGTAAATTAAGGTACAGTAGTCCTTATAAGATATGCAAACTTGCACTGAAAAAATTAGTTATGCAATAAATCCTTTATTTAAGCAGGTGGGAGGGAAGTTCTTGAAAATTTTTGTGTATAACTGTAGAGTACTGTACCTGTATCTACAAAATTCAAGGAAATTAAACTTTGGGTTAACAGTTGGAAGGTGAGGATGGTTTAATTCTTAATCCAATGCCTGCAGCTTTGGGAAAGTTAAAAATATTCTTTTTCTTATGAAATTGAAGATTTAAAATTAAGAAGCCATTAAAACAATATAAAAACAATGCACTCATCATGGCAGAGAGTAATTGGCAACTGGTGAGCCCTGGTTGTTGTTGTTGTGACACAAAGTGTGGTTGTGGTGACAAATGACATGGTTGTGTTGGTGCAGAGGTGGGTTTTTGTGGTGCAAAGTGGGTGATAAGCCTTTACGTAGGTGGTGAGCCACTGAGGAAGGGTAGGGGGAAGAGGCTGATGAGGAATTAATAATTCCAAATCAATTCCAAGATGATAACAGCAAGTTGATTTGAGGCTCCACCAACCTTGTGTCTTACTCTAGAGTGTCTACCAATCATCTAATTTTCATTCTTAATTAGACTTTTGGTACACAGCTTTAAATTCATGGTGCCAACTGTCTCATGACGACAATGGTGCGATTTCTGTAAATCTGCTGATGATGATGATATTAGTTAAATGGTTAAAGGCCTTAAATAAGTTGAGTTTGCAGAGGCCTTAAATAAGTTGAGCTTGCACAGGCCATAAATAAGTTGAGCTTGAAGAGGCAATAAATAAGTTGAGCTTGCAGAGGCCATAAATAAGTTGAGTTTGCAGAGGCCATAAATAAGTTGAGCTTGCAGAGGCAAGAAATAAGTTGAACTTGCAGAGGCTATAAATAAGTTGAGCTTGGAGAGGCCATAAATAAGTTGAGCTTGCAGAGGCAATAAATAAGTTGAGCTTGCACAGGCCATAAATAAGTTGAGCTTGAAGAGGCTATAAATAAGTTGAGTTTGCAGAGGCCTTAAATAAGTTGAGCTTGCACAGGCCATAAATAAGTTGAGCTTGAAGAGGCAATAAATAAGTTGAGCTTGCAGAGGCCATAAATAAGTTGAGTTTGCAGAGGCCATAAATAAGTTGAGCTTGCACAGGCCATAAATAAGTTGAGCTTGAAGAGGCAATAAATAAGTTGAGCTTGCAGAGGCCATAAATAAGTTGAGCTTGCAGAGGCTATAAATAAGTTGAGCTTGGAGAGGCCATAAATAAGTTGAGCTTGCAGAGGCCATAAATAAGTTGAGCTTGCAGAGGCCATAAATAAGTTGAGCTTGGAGAGGCCATACATAAGTTGAGTGGAACAAAGTGTTATTATTATTTTTTTTTTCTGAATTCTATTTATTTACAGTACTTACTTTTCCCTATGGTCAACCTCCCCCCACACTGAGGGTAGGTAGAGAGGGGAGGATGAGGGGATACTGAGAGAGAGGATGACTGGGGAATAGGGACAAGATAACTGAGACAATAGGGGAAATCGGTGATATCTGTGTTGTCAGTCAGGACTCGATGTATCACTGCATAACACCAAAGACATGTATGACAATGTTTTTACTCAACACCAAGAGGGGGGGAATTTATAACACTTCAAAACAATAAACCTATTTTCCTAGTTAGCTTACAGGGGTCACAGGAATCACAATACATTTCGTGAAACAGATGAAACCTTAAGGGTACTCATTTAAGATATATCATCATGCTGACCTGCCGACCACACACACACACACGCCTACACTGAACCAATTCTAACCAGACTGTTTGAAAACAGAGACGGCCTGCATGGCGCCACATCTTCATGACGTCACGTCTTAAAGCTCTCCTTATTGGTTCAGGCCTAAGGCATTCACGCTAACAGGTCACTGCGATTGGCTCATGCTTGGTGGGAAATACTCAAGCTTTTTTCTTTTTTCGGGGGTGGGACTTTCACCCTAAATTTATGACTGTTACATGAGCTTGTAGAGGCCATTAAGAAATTGAGCTTGGACAGGGCACAAATAAGGTCAGGTGCACATTTCTTGAGGATGATAGATGAGATACCATCAGATTCAAGAGCTGTTAGGGAGCTTTGTTTGGATCTAGATTAGAATCCGCATAAAATACTGAAAAAGGATCCAATAGGACTGATGGCACATTAACACTTGAATGACAGCTAAGGGTTTCCTACTCCACCTCCATGCGTGCAAAAAATAGAATGCAAGGAGCATGAAATGTCCACTGATGATGGCCACTGACAGTGGCTGCCATTTAAGGGTTAAGTACAGCATGGACACAGGGCACTCTATACCTAACAGAACTAAGCCTTTAGTACTGGAAGACTGTACAGTACTGTACTGTACTGTACAGGGGGTCCCCGACTTACTAACGTCCGACTTACGAACACCCGCTGATATTAACGGGGTTAAACTTGAAATTTACTGTACAGTACAGTATTTTATTTACCTGATGACTTTATTTTCGCTTTCATTTACTGTACTGTATTTGGTCATTCTATTTCTTTTTTTCTCTTAAATTAAGTGATTTTAGATGTACAGGAAGTCCCCATTGAACATTTATCCTTTGAAAAAATCCTCACTATATCAAAAGCAAGTTTTTACTACCCATTTGCCGGTTAATGAAGGAATGTTCTACTACAGGTTGACAATCCCTTTTCTGAAATCCTTGGGGCCAGATGCATTTGGGAATGGTTAGATTAGTTTTGTTTTTTGGTTTTTGTTTTGTTTTGTTTTTTACAGGGATCAGCCCACCCAGGCACAGGTCATTGACCCATATTGAGGCCTGGGGGGCTAAAATATTATTATAATAATAATAATAATAATAATAATAATAATAATAATAATAATTCTAGGTTGTGTTTCTCACTTTTGATCTTTTTTTCATTCTTGAATTTCTTTATTATAATTATTTTTTTATTTTTACAGTATTATTTTTATTACAGTGATCCCTCGGTTAACAAGCGCCTCGGTTAACGAGATTTCGGTTAACGAATTCCCTTTCATAAGATTCTTCACTTCGGTTAATGAGCAAACCCTCGGTAAACGAATTCCTTACGAATTTTTCTCAACATGTTTTCGCCAGCATTTAGCTGCCCACCAGCTGTAGTATTAGTCCGCCAATACAGTAATCGGTTTTAGGGCTTAAATTCCTTACCATTTTAGTAAATATCAAGAAGGTTGTACTATTCAATAATTTTAAAAGTTTTATATTAATTTTTTTAGTCATTTTAACAATTATTGAACATAATTGAAGTACAGGAAACTAGTTTTTTGTGCGCCAAATAGCCACTCAACACACCAAGCTTGGCGTCAGTTTGCTTACCAGTTCAGAGGAAGGAACATCTTGTTTGAGACTCTTCAACATAAATGTTTTTTTTTCTGAGTTTCCAGTCAAATTATTGGTCATTTTGAAATATATTTTACATAGATAATATATAGCACAGTGCAGTGTTGAGTCAAAGAAAATAATCTCGACTTACACTAAGTGAACTAAAATTTTATGGGTGAAATGGCGGCATAGTGTGACTTCTCTTCCACCCCAATGCCTTCTCTTCTCCCTAATCCTCCACCCCCATTCTAATTCCCATCATCTTCGTCATCATCATCAACCAGGAGCCTTCTACATGCACACCTCAAAGTAAGTGTACTTTACTGCATTCATTTTAGTTTGTATGTAATTTTCGGTGAGCCGGAACCAATTACGGTACCCAAAAACCCATTGAAACAATGGTTTCGGTTAACGAATTTTTCGGTTAACGAGCAACCTTCTGGAACGAATTGTGCTTGTTAATCGAGGGACCACTGTATTATTATTATTAATTTTAATACGGTAATATTATTTTATTATTATTATTATAATTATTATTTTATTTTTGTGCATTTTTTATATAAATTTTATTTACTATGAATAATTATTATTATTATTATACTGTAATTATTATAATTATTATAATTATTATTATTATAATTATTATTATATTTTTGCCCCCCAGGTCCCGATGTGGGTCAGTGACCTGTGCCCAGGTGAGCTAATCCTGGTGTAAAAAAAATTAAAATAAATAGAAATATTTGGCTCCACAAAAACATTTTCGGTTTTCAGAGGTTTTCGGTTTTCGGATAAGGGGTTGTCAACCTGTATTACGAAGTGTAAGTCACCTACCTTTCTGCTTTCTCACCACCAGCTTCATGATCACCACCATCACCATCGCTACCTCTATTATCATCATAATTTCACCTTCTTTTCTACCTCCCACCCCCTGCGTCTCACCGACACTGCCACTCTCACTCATTCTATAACTATCATTCATGATAGTACACTATTGTACAATATTGTACTGTACATTGTTTATTTGTTATTCTCACTCCATAATTTAAAATTTATGTAACATAATGTAGAAGGAATATGATGTTATTCATTTATATTTACACTCAATTTTGTGGGTAGACATCAGCTGTTAAATTGTCTGGCAGTCCTGCAACCAGTGTTACCAAACAAACCGACTGACACATCATCTCCTCATCACTTACCCATCTTTCTTCCTCCCTCCCTCCCACCCACTGCATCTCACCGAGACTCTGCCTCTCTCTCATTCTGCTATGACTGTCATTCCCACAACCAACAACTCTGTTTATGTTTTACATGTTTTATTGTTTTTATCTTCAGTATTTTGATGTGTTGAAATTATTTTGTCACAGAGCTTAGTAATGTACAGTACATTAAAATATCACAGAGCTTAGTACAGGAACACCCCCCCCCCCCTTATTACATAAATTTATATGGGAAAAATGGTTTCAATGAATGCAATTCACCTAACGAAAGCATTTTAGTGGAACCTAACCCTTTCGTTCACTGGAGACTTACTGTATATTTGGACTTGGGCTATAATATAGTAGGATCTTAAACATTGTTCTGTAAGTACGGTATGCACATAGCAAG